TGTGCTACCCTCTGAGACCTGGCCCTGTTGCAGACTATGAAGAAGATAAATGCTTCCAAAATGCTACAGTTTGCTGCTTTTTTTTTATAAATTAGTACATGTCTGCAGCTTTTTCCTAGCACTGATTGTATAATTAAAGCACAGCACAGAGGAGGCATCTCAGGTGCTGAAGATGTCCCTATGGCTTTTGGGGAATCACCCTGCAGAACAAAGCTGCACCCTCCTCACTCTCTCTCCTTCTACCTGCAAGGATCCTGATTCTTCAGAGGTGTTGGACTGCTTTGCAAGTGATTATAATCTTGTTTGACTTCTGTGTTTTAAAAAAAATCATAGAACTGATACTAAATTTGAAATATCTTTTTGGGGGGGTGGGTACTGGGAATCAAACTCAGGCCCTTGCAATTTGGAGGCAGGCACAGTGCCACTGAGCTAAATCCCCGGCCCCTGAACTGATACTAAATTGGTACTGAAGAATTAACATTGTGCTCTTAATATTGTGGCATTTGATGGCAAACCAGTCACCACTGTGCCTTCTGTTATTTTCAGACTTATTAATATTCTTATTAAACAGGGAAAAATAGTCTGTGTGAAATGTGCTCTGGCCAGTCAGTGAAAGCAGAAGCAATCAGGCCTTGGCCTTGAATTCCTCTAACCAGAGAACACCACCAACAGCTCCACAGAGATAAAATGTAAAACTAAGATTGCCACTAGCAAGTTAGTTTGTAACTCACTGCAACAAAGTATGTATCACAACCTAGTTTATAACTGCAACAAAGTATCTATGAGCAACTTAGTTTATAACTCTTTGCAACAAAGTATCTATCAGCCACTTAGTTTGTAACTTTTCAACAAACTGTCTACCAGCAACCTAGTTTATAATTCTCTGCAACAAAGTATCTCTGATGTACCAGGAAGGCATCTTTTTTTTTTTTTTTTTTTTTTTTTTTTTTTTTGAAGGCATCTCTTTTTAATGTCAGGTTTGGCTTGCTGAGTTACAAAAAGAGAGGTTCAAAGCTTTGGTCCTTAGATGATATCAGGAAATAATCTAAACCAAGTATAGTGGCACAAGTTTGTAATCCCAACTGTCTGGGAGGCAGAGGCAGGAGGACCTCAAGTTTTAGCCCAGCCTGGGCAGTTCAGTGAAACCCTGTCTTGAAAAGGGTGAGAGTGTCTGGGCACATAGCTCACTGCAGAAACCCTGAATTCAATCCCCAGTACTGAAAAAAAAGAACCTAAATTCCTCCTCCTCTTCCTTGGAGTGGGCTCAGGTGATGCCTTTTACAACACAGGATGCCATGGATTCACAAATGACAGAACAAAGCCCCAAGCTGTGTCATTGTCACCTCAGCCTTTGCTCCCTGTGCCAGGCACAGTTCCTCTTCCCTTTACATGGGCTAGACCCGAGACTGACCATACGCAGGAGTCTGAAAGTTGTGCAGAGAACAAACCTGAGGTCAGACTCCACAGGCTCCCAACCCTACCTCACACTCCAGAGACAGGAGAAATGGCAGCGCTCAGACCTGAGTATCGTGGAAGTCCTCCCTTGGGGCAGACCCAGGGGTAGCTTGGCACCAGGTCTGGTGGCTGACCAGGAACCTTGAGCTGCTCTGCTCTCTCGCCACTGCATTGCCATCGAAAGACAGCTCAGGCAAGGGTGCCCAGACTTCAGGGCCCGGCAGGCACAGAGGGCTCAGGGTGAGCATGGCCCTGTGATCTCAGGGTGGTGAAAAGGTCAGATGACAGCCACCCTCAGGTGCTGCTGTTTTCACCCTTACCAAGGACCAGGGATGCAGTGTGAAGCTAGGGTGAGAATCAGGAACTGGTTTTACAGCTTTCTGTGTACTAGAGGAGATCATCAGTTCAGACCATGAGCACCCAGGCAAACAGACAAGCAAAGCAACACCCCAGCCCCGGGAGGCTAAGATGGAACATGAGGTTAGGAACCCAAAGTGAGGACCCCTCTGTGCCTCTTTTTTTAAACTTTATTTTATAAATCTTGGATTGTCATAAAATACACATAAAATGTGCTATCTTAACAATCATTTTTAAGTGTCTAGTTTGGTAATACTAACAGTATTCACATTATTATGCAACAAATTAGCTACTTTTACTTGTTTGTGTTTTTCTTAAAGTTTTTCATTGAAAAAATATTTGATGGATAAATTAAAATTGTATCTATTCAAGGCATATTAAATGATGGTGTGATGTAACAGTGAACTGATCATCACATTCATATTAGTGAAAACAGCTCCTGTCACCCACGGTTATCACTGTGTGTGTGTGTGTGTGTGTGTGTGTGTGTGTGTGTGTGTATGATGAAAACCAGCTCTTACATGAACTCTTTAGTGGTAGAACAGTGGTCATTTTGGTGTTGGGTTTCTGTCTGGAAAACCAGAGGACGCCAGAGGATCATGCAGGAGGATCACAACTTCCAGCCTAGCCAGGCCAACTTAGGGTCTTAGCAAGATCCTGTCTCATAAAAAATTTAAAAGATCTGGGGTGCAGCTCCATGCAAAGGCCCTGGGTTCAATCCCCAGTAGACCCCCACTCCAAAAAAAATATCAGAATGAGTTTCCCAGACACAAAAATCCTCAGAATATGCTACACACATTCTCTGTAGGCTCCATACTTGGTATTGAGGGTTTTTTCGGAAAAATCAAGGTTACAGAGACAAAAAGATTCAAACACACCTGTAGCAACACTGGAGTCCCGGTCTCTCTCCCCCACCCCAAGTATTCTTTCCTGTGACTGCAGGCTCACTTGGGGACAGCATGTCCTTCGGCCCTGACCGTTTCTGGCAGTGGTACTCCCTACATAGCTGACACATTTCCTCGGTTGTAGTTCAGTGTGAGCTCCAGGTCTGGGTGCAGCTGTTGGGGCTGCAGTCCCCTCGCTGGTGACTAGGAAGACTTGCCCTGCAGCTCCTGCCCCAACTCCAACACACACCTAGCATAGCACATCCTGATGCCTGGGTGGCTGAAATGCAGAGTGGCCCCAGGGGCCAGAGGGACAGTCCGGACCACCACTGAGCACAAACTTGGATGGAGCTGCGAGGGGGCGGGCCCAGCAGGAGCCCTGGGCTCACACTAGATGTAGGAGGGGAGGTGGCCAAGTGAGGCAGTGGCACGGGAGCCAGAGCTCCGGACTTGGTGTGACCCTGGGAGCAGATTTTCCAGTGCAGTTGCTCCTGTTGATCTAGGGATACTCAGAACACTCGGGTTTCCATGGAGCAGTTAGACGTCCACCTCCAGTGGAGGATACAGGCCCAGAGGAGGCTTTGTTTCCAGTTTAAAGGAAACCCCATTCAGTCAGTACAGAAGCAGCCCTTGAGGGTTCTGTGATTAATTCTGATGCTGAGACTGCTGTGTGTGGGAAGGGGACATTTCATACAGGTGGCCTTGAGTTCCGGGCACCCCATGCTTGGCTGCCCAGCATGGATGCGTGCAGCCTGCATGCTGACTTTGCTGCAGGCAGAAGTGTGTGTCTGGGCATTTGCCAACTGACTAACAGCTCCTGAGAGGTGGAAGTGGGTGCCTGGCCCAAGGCCCCTGACAGGACCACTTGTTCCATCCCCTTGACCTTCTACCATGGGGCCCCACGGGCCCTGGGGACAAGGCACATCAGATGGGGGCACCTCAGGACCCCGCAAGCACTGGCTCCCTGAGACCAGGCTCCCCAAGCAGCCTTGCCGCCACAAAGGGCAGGGCACCCCACCCCTGCTCCAGAGCGGGGCCTGGGCCTGAGGACCTGAGTAGAACCCTGCAGCAGGGGGGGGGGGGGGGGGCAGCCCAGGGGCTAGCAGCCCTGGCAGGCTCCTGGGGGAAGTCTAAGGCTGTGGGCGCTCCCCAACTGCACTGACCCTCTTCCCTCCCTCCCTGTCCTTTACTCTCACTGCTTCACTTTCAGATTTTCAGACTTTCACAAAAGTGTCCTATCCTGTACCAAACTGAGAAGTTACCTGGAGACTCTTTGAATGTAATCAAGAGCACAGCAGTTTGTGTTGTTTTTCAAACACCACATTTGAAAAGACACCCCATAAGCACAACCAGAAAAACAGGTTTGGTTGATTTCAGAGAATGCTGCTAGCTGCCCCGTACACTTCTGAAAGGTGCCTAGCACTCTCGGAAGGAAACCCAGAGGCCCGGCTCCCCCAGACAGAGCTGTCTTTTATTCCCTCACACAGGTGGCCTCTGTGGAGTCCTCTGACTACTGGCTGATGTGTTCTCTTTTAAACATTCAAAACAGCCTGACTTTGTTGACTTACAACAAAAGCAAAACAAGAAACCTCCACTAAGTAAAATACAGCATGATTATTGTTTGGGGGTCATCTCAACTACAGGGAAAAGAACCCAAGTGCAGAAGGGCTCATCTAATTTCCTCGTCAGAGTTCTGGGATAAACACAGGGACACACAGGCAGGCAAGGGAGAAGCAGCCTTCATGAAGTGAGGTGACCCTGGAGCCAGGGCTGCACTCCTCAGTTTCCAGGGTCCCTTTTGGAAGGGAGAGGCAGAGGCTCATGTAGATGACTCCGCAAATGCCCTTCAGTTCCCTGCATTTTGTCCAGTTTGCAACCCAGCACGTAGCTGTGCGGGGAGAAGCCCCACGCAGCATTGCCTGGGTTCTCTCCATGCATGGGATTTCGATGTGCTGTCCCTTTGCTCTGAACATGGGGGAACCAGGAGCCCAGAGTACTGTGCATAGAGCTGTGGACGCACTCATCCCTTCCAGCTTTGGTAGCTCAGATCAGGTGAGGAGGCCCCGCCCAGGCTCCCCGGAGGGAAATAGAGAGCCCAGAGTCAGTGCGGCCTGTGTTGGCTGTGTGTCCTGGGGCCCAGGCTAGGCTGGGGCTGGGGCTGAGCAAGGCTGCTGGCCCAGGTGTCCAGCACTGCCAGGAGGAGACGGGGAGGCGTTTGGGGGCTTCCACATGGGAAAGAAAGGGCCGCCATCTGCACCCCACTAGCTGTGGTCTGGGCAGGGAAAGTCATGAAAGATAGAAACGTGTACTGATTTCCATTTTTATTACAGCCAAGAAAGAAAGCAGTCACTTTGACTACAAGTTTAATTTGCTTTCTGTTACTTACAATTGCATTTCACCTGTTAGTGTTTCAATTCAGCATATTAAAAAATAAATTAAAGGTTATCTCACAATATTGTTTGAAAAGGTATCTGAGCACAGCAAAACACGGCCCGGGACTCTATGCACCTTGAGGGTCACAGAGGGCTGGCTGGCGTGGTGCCAGCTCCCTGCCCTTTTCCAGCCCGTCTGGCTCAGGCTGCCCGTGCTCTTCCTCTGAACAGCCTCTCGAGTGCATGTGTGTGCCTGTGTGCGCACCGAGTGTGATGCACAGGGCTTGGGGCAAACATAGGAGGTTTCCATTTCAGATCAGCACCTACTCAATCCCCAAATAAGGCTTCACTGCAAACTACCTAAGGGAAGGGAGACTATTTCACAGAACCTCCGAGCCCATTGCGGGCACTTATGCTGCGATGTTCCAGAATGTAGCTTATCTCTTTAAAGACCATTAACATGGTTTTCTGGCTAGGGTGAGGCAAAATACTCAGTAACTTAGCAACATAAACAGAATAGCGCCAAGATCTCCACACATTTTTCTCTTGCAATGGGTCGGAAAGAACTAGAGAGAAAACAGAGCAGAAAAACCCCAAAGGCATCTGCAGCAGCCACTGTGATCGCTGTTGTGTGCCGTGTCCAGAGTCTGCTCCACAGAGAAGTTGGCACTTACCAGAACCTCCCTGGCTGGACCTGTTGGGGTAGGAGGAGGAGGGCCGGGCAGGTCGGAGTCCAGTGCCTGACACATGCTGAGCTCCACCCAGCCCCAGGCAGGACCTTGGATACACTTTTTATTTTGTATGTGACCTACATGGAAGTAAACGAACTGTTCAGGTGCACGCTCCCTTTTCAGTTGCGGTAACATCAACTTAAGAGTCCGAGCTGTGGCCAGCAGGTAGCTTGGGACTCTCTTTTGTAAGCAACTTTCAGCCTTTGGCACACGAAGCCTGCTTGAGGTGGATCTGAGGGTCTTGTGTGTGGACATTGAGGCCCCACAGGTGGGGTGCAAACCCCTGCCCTCCTGCTGCCCAGCATGAGACATCAGCCTTTGGCACCTGCACCCTGTCGTGGGCACTGTGGGCTGCAGTGGCTCTGCGTGCGAGGTGGTGGCTGGTGGCTGGAGGCATCGAGACTGCAGTGTGTCAGGCGTTCTCGTGAGAGGTGGTGGTGACGCCGTTCCCTCTTTGGGGAGCTGACTTTCCCTCGAAAAGACACGAGCTCCACAGAAACAGCTCCATGTACTTCGTTTAACCACTGATTGTTTCCAGGAATACCTGTCCAGGCTTGAAATAGCTGCTTGTCACACCCAGTCCTTCACGTTGTGCTCTGAGAAAAGATGTCAGGAACCCTACATCCCCCAGTGAACCTGTTTCCTTTTCTTGTCTGTTTCCCTGTGTCTAAAAATGCCCCAATGCAGGGATTGCACAAGTTTTTTTAGATTCCTGGCTTCCCTTCAGCACTGTCTGGGAAATTTCCTGACAACCCGGCTGAAGTTTCTCCCACTCCTAAGCAAGAAGTCTGCAGGCTCCGCTGCACCTGGTCCCTCCCAGCAGCCAAGGCTTTGGGCACCACCTGGCCAGTTTGAGGGTGGAGGATGGCAGCTCCTCCGCTGAAGGTCTCAAAAGCCTGGCTCCCCGCCCATCTGTGACCCCCCCCTGCCCCCCCGAATGGATTGCCTGGGCAGGAAGGCTTTGCACCGGAAGCAGCCAGTGCACGGCTCAGGTGCTGGCAGGTCCACTCACCACTGTGACTCTGAAGCCCTCCCCTTCTGACCCCATCCTCATCCCTGAGAGCTGGGAGCACAGGGCCTGCCTGGGGGACTCCTCTGCAAAGGCTGGAGCTTGCCATGTGGATGGGGAAGGCACCAGCCTTGCTTCAGGATGGCGGTTAGTGCTGCCCCTGTACCCCGCACCATGGCCTGGGGTTACCCCAGAAGCACCCTAACTAGGACTCCTCCTGCAGGGAGGCGGAATGTTTATTTTTTATACAGTTCAGATGTGGCTGTCAGTTTAAATTGACCTGACGTTATCTGACCTTAGCTCTTGTGATATTTAATCTACATCTTCCTGTGTTTCCGAGGAGGAAACCACAACAGAAACTTAGGCCTTCTCTAGAGCCGCCTGAATCCCATTCCTGCCTTTTTGTTTATTTTTTGCCACTCTCTAATTACACAGAGACATCCACACCTCTTAAGAAGTTACCAGTGTTAAATTAACAAACAAGAAAAGATGCTGGGTATGGTGGTGCATGCCTGTCATCTCAGCACTCCGGGAGGCTGAGGCAAGAGGATTGTAAGTTTGCAACTTTGATCCTAGCTTGGGCGACTTAGCAACTTAGTAAGATCCTGCCTCAAAATTTAAAAAAAGAAGAAAGACTGGGGTGTAGCTCACTGTGAAGCCCTGGGTAAAATTGCTTGGTCAAGCAATAGTATAGCATATTTTCTTCTGTTCAAGACTTTTCGTACTACAGGGATGCACGTCCTCTACAAAGAACAGAGTCCAGGCAAATTGTAACTCCACTCAGCGTGCATCTCTTCACCTTGAGAAATCAGGCAGAAACACTCCTGGGCTGAGGCTGAGCCTGGCCCCCGTGTGCGGAGTGATGTTCCCGGTCATGCGCAGGTCCCTGTGGCCCAGTCTGAGCTTTGGCCTGCAGTCCCCTCCTGTCCTGTGGGCACCATCCGGCTGCCTCCGCTCACCTGGTTCCATCCACGGTGCACAGAGCTGCTCGCCTTCCGAGTGCGTGAGACACAGCGAGTGTGGTTCCCCTCTGGGGGCCTCTTTCTTTGAGCCTTGGGGGTCCTGATGTCCCTGCTCCTTGGTCCTCATGGGGCTCCCCCAGGGAGGCCAGGAGTTCTGGGAATGTCCTTAAATGGGTCTCTGGCTGACAGCTCATCTAGGAGACAGAAAGTATAAGTTGTGACACCCTTATTCCCTCAGTGTGACAGTCACTGAAGTTGTCCCAGAATTATTTTTAAGGATAATGTGAATTTTTTAAAATACTTAATTACTTAAAACATCTTGCCTAATCCCCAAACACCTACTGCTTTTAACCTGGATATATAATATATTAAAGAATAACCAGGTATGGTGGTGCAGGCCTGTAATCCCAGCACTCTGGGAGGCTGAGGCAGGAGGATGGCAGATTCAAGCCTAGGCCCAACAGCTTAGAGACTTAGCAAGACCTTGTCTCAAAAAAGAAAAAAAGAATAGTGTATTAGAGTGTATATTTTAGTACTATAAACTACTACAAATTGATACATTCACAAAAGTAAACGGGAATCTGTAATCAGTACACTGATTAACAAACAAAATAGTTTTTCTCACTTTTTTTTAGCTTGGAATAACAGCTCACCTGTCATACTAATTACCAAGTAAAGGGTTGCCTCGGAAAGGTCATTTCTGCAAAACTCTTCTCATCCGATCTGTGCCTCGAGGTGGGGTGGTGTCTCAGGAATCTGCTGTGGATGCCTGCGTCCAAGGTCCCCAGTACAGCGCCAGCCTTAGGAGAAGCGGGGTGAGACCCGCCGGAGGCCATGGCCGAGCCCCGGTGCCCCACTCTTCCCCTCTAAAGGTTTGAGGGACACCGGCAGGTGGCCGACAGCAGGTCCAGGGGGTTGGGGTCGGGAGCCGGCTCTGCCCACTGGGGAAACCAGAGCTGAGGGCAAGCAGCACTGCTCCTCCGGGCAGAGGCTGCTGGGACGGAGCAGGGTGCCCCACAGAGCCCCTTCCCTCTGTGGAGGGCCTTTTATCAGCTGCCTCATAAACACTGTGACACACGTTCTCGCCTTGGGGCTTTCCTGATACAAACAGTTTATATTCGATTTCAGAATCGTCACTGGGGCTTAGCAACAATAACAACACAAAGCAACGTGCTTTGGAGTAAGTTTGCTAAGTCGGCTTCCCCGTGTGGGGTCACCCCTGTCCCCCAGCTGGCACACAGCTGTGTCCCTCCCAGACCTGGGGAACAGGGTGACGGGGGCCACCCGAGCCCTGAGTCCCACGCAGGGTGCTAGGGCGGACACGCCCCAGCGGTGAGGACGGGCACCGAGGTCCTCCCAGGCCATCCCAGCTGCCGTCCCTGGCAAGCTGTGAGCTACACCATGTTCTCTGTCACAGGAACACTTAGAGTTTTTTTTCTTCAGTCGCTTTGTAAATAGGATTGCACAAACATCCATGCACACCCACTCTCCAAATCAGAATTTGCTGTGCTATAAAGAGCATTAAATTAGATGGGCCGGCTCTCAGTTGATGGGAATACAATCATCTAACTGCACAGCTCTGTACAGAGACAAGCAAGCAGGCCAGGGAAAGCGTCAACTCGGCTGGAAACGTCCAAGCCTGTTTACCTCAACCAATTGTCCTTGTCCACTTGTCCAGCCAGCAAGTGTCCACTAGCAGTGATTTGGGAGCAGACGCTGCGTGGGAGCCTGGCGGGAGCCGCCTCTGCGGTTTACTGGGACTTCAGTCAGCCGGGCCCCTCAGCCGGGTGCATGGCATCCTAGGAGACGGGGCTGCAGGGCTCCCGCCACGGCCTTGCTCCGCTCTGAATGAAGACTGTCCTGTGGGCTTAGCCAGTAGAAATGCTAATGAGAGTCAAATCACTTGCGAGGCACAGAGAGCCTTGTAAATTCCTTGTCTAAGGGCAAGGCGAGGCTGAAGGTACGGGCAGAGCTGCTCTGCAGCGAGAATCCCGGGAAAGCACCTCTATCCAGGGGACGATGGAAACCTTCAGAACCCCGTGGCCTGGACTCGGGAACCTAGCTCATGTCAAGAGAAAGATTCCCCTTTTCTTTTCCATCTTCTGGTTCACCTGTTCACACGCACGCGCACACACACCAGCCAAAACAGCCAAGCTGGCAAACCCAGACTCACCTTCTGCCTCTCCTCCGGGTGAACCCCCCACTTCCTGCTCGGGACCCACCCCACACGGCCCTTGCCTGTCCCGGGCGCCCTCTGCCGAGAACCTAGCTCTTTTCCTGCGAAAGCTTCGCCCTCACCCATCACTCCTGAACGAGTCATTTGTCTGTAACCAACCCAGCGACTTGGGGTCAGAATGCTGAGCAGCCAGGTTTGTTTTGCCTCCTTTCGTGTCTGCATCTGATCTGCAATCACGGAGCCTGTTGATGAACATCTGCGACAGTGGCATACCCCGGCTACTCAGGAGGCTGAGGCAGAAGGACTGCAAGTTTGAATGCAGCAGCCAACTGTATACTGAGCACACCATAAATTGCGGTACATGCATCGCCCGGAGCTTCTGGCCTTGGTTTTGTCATTGCCAGGAAAAGTGAAAATCCGCCCTGCATTTTCCTCCCCACTGGCGCCTGCCACACACCCTGCCTGGACCTTCCTCCTGGCCTGCCTTTATCCCTGTGTAATCACAGTGTCATTAGGTGACAGCAGGGTTTGCCTCCCGTGGCTCTGGCCCAGGGCAACCGTGTAGCAAGGGTGTCTGTACCGAGAGATCCCTGACAGAGAACTGGAAATGAGCAGGAGCGCCTCATCCCTCATGGCAGGACGATGGGGAAACTGTGGGGCTCTACAAAGCCTTGGCTGCTACAGCTGGTCAGATGTCCTTACAAAGAAACCCTGGAGCTAGGCATGGTGGTGCATGGGAGGCTGAGTCAGGAGGATCCCAAGTTTGAGACCGCCTGGACAACTTAGCCAGACTCTGTCGAAAAATGAAAAATTTGAAGGGCTGGGAATGCAGCTCAGCATGAAGATGAAGGAGAAGGGCCTGGGTTTAATTACCTGGTACCAGAAAGAGAGAAAGAAAAGAGTGGGTGTCAGAGCGGGGCAGGGAGGGAGACAGGCTGGGGAGGCAGGTCCCAGCAGCGGCGCCCACAGCTTGGGCTGGGCTGTGCTGAGCTTTGCACGGTCCTGCTGCCTCACCAGCTCCGCCAGCTCTGCAGGGTCCCAGGCAGCCGCCAGCACTGCGGCTGTGGATAGGCGGGGAGAGGGCAGGCTCCGTGGAGTGTGTGTCGGAGTGTCGGAACAGGGAGAGGCAGGATAACCGAGGCCTTCTGCAAGCTGCACCCTGTTGCCTCGAGGACAGGACCTGACCTGGGTCCGAGTGCCATGGGCCTGGGGGGTGCAGGTGACCGAGGCGGCAGGGCCACCCTCCCCTACACAGCCCCCCCTTCCAAGTCCCCGGCCCCTCTGGCTGACACCCCCCAGGCTTCCTCTCCGCAGCTGTGCGCTCACCATGTCCCATGAGCGCCACTGGCCTGCTAAGGAGCCAGCACCTCTCCGCCTTGCCTGGCTTGTTACCTGAGAGCCGGTGAGTGCTGCACCCTGAAGCTGTGTGCTCCCACCCTCCCCTGGGGACACGGGGGCTGGGCCAAGGCTTGGCAGCTCTGGGGAACTGCAGTCTGAGCATCTGTGTGGGACAGACTGCCCCTGTCATAGTCGGGCCACTGCCAGCCCAGGCCTGCGGAGTGAGGCTCCTCTGGATCCAGCTCAGCCCCAGGCTGTGCCTGCTGAGGGGATACCTGGCCTGGCTCTGGCCTCCTGGGCTCACCGTTGGCTGGGAAACTTCTCCAGAGAGCACTGGAGCAGGGAGGAAAAGGATGCCCAGGAACGCTGCTTCCTGGTTAGCTGCCACCACCCATCCCACCCAGAAACCCAGAACAGGGCATGGCTTCCGGGGAAGAGGACCTCAGCCGGGTTCTGCTGCAAGACCTGCACCAGGGGCAGCGGGAGCCAGAGGTTCTCAGGTCCAGGAAGAGACAGGCAGACACCAGGGTGAAGGCAGGAGACCAGCGTCCCACGGAGGGGCTTCGGAAGGTATGGAGACCGGGCCACAGGAGGCACTGCAGAGACCAGGGCCCTGCGGAGACCAGAAGCGGGGAAGCGGCCGCCTCTCTGTGCTGGGCTGTGCAGGGCAGGCAGTGGGGCCGGCCAAGAGCACAGTGGAAGCCGGGCATCCCCATGCGCCTCCAGTCCCACCACTATGGGAGGCTGAGACGGAAAGGTTGCATGCTCAAACCTAGGCCGGGCAACTTAACTTACCAGACTCTGTCTAAAACAGTGGGGCAGGAGCTGGGTATGAAGCTCAGTGCAAAAGTGCTGGAGAATCAACCCCAGTGCTGGAGAAAAGAAAGAAACCGAAGGTGCTGACATTACACGTTCATCCCACTTTTCCTTCACATCTGGGCTCTTCCCACTGTTTTCCTCCGGGTTCAGGGTTCATGGGAAGCTGAGGCAGGCACTGGCCTTGTCCAGCACTTACACTGTGGTGTTTTCTGCAGCAGGGCTTTGTCACATTAGTTTTGATGCCCCGTGGTGTGCCACTGTTGCCGTAGCTGAGTGCCACAGGTTCGTTCCGCCCAGTGTTCGGGGGCACAGCCTGAGGAGCCCAGGCTTTGCACAGACCTGCTGACCCGAGGATGGGCAGGGCCCTGGTGACTTGGGTCCCCTGGCCCACCTCTAATGCCTCACCATGGGGCTTGACTCCAACATGCGTGTGGCGGGCACAGATCACTGCACTCTGGAGGCCCTCGGATGATGGAGCCCTGGTGTCGCCTCAGGCTCTGCGTCCTTGAATGGCCACCTGGCCCAGCCCCATCTGTCTTCACCTCTTACCTCGAGCACAGCCCCTACACACCAGGGGCACGAGAGGAAGGTGCCAGGCCAGCTGCTCGAGAGAGCAGCCCCTATGGGCCTCGGCCAAGCTGAGCAGCCTGTGCATCCCGAGGGCTCTTCATCTGTGATGCCGAAGCTCAGCAGGCACCGTGTCCCCTCCCAGGCTGAAATTGTTCTTCACCTTCCTGATGGCATCTTTTGCCCAACAGGAGAAAAAGTCAAATCAAAGCCATTCTTTTCTGCTCCTGTGTTGTCATGTCCTCTGAGAACCCCAACCAGACCCTCGGTGCTGCATCCTCCACACGTGTGGTCCTTCTGTGCTTAGCTTTGGATCTGTGCCCCACCTCCAGGCGACTGGAGGAGGGTGGATTTGGGTCGCAAATTGCTCTCTCACCCGCGGAGTCCTGGTGTGTCAGCACCATGTGTGGAAAAGACTCTGCCGTTCCGAGACATGGCAGAGCCACAGTAACGGGCCTTTCGCTTCCTCTGGTTTCGTCTGGTCAGTGCCTGCCACTGTGCATGCTGTGCGTGGGATGCCATTCAGTGTGTAGAGTGTGAGAGCCTGTCTGGTGTGCCAACTTGATGGACCCGGGGATGCTATGCCAAGTGGGATAACCCAGGCCCAGAGAGGCAAAGACAATGCAATCTCTTACGCGTGGAACACGGAAAGCAGCTCGGGCAAGCAGGGTAGAGGTGTCTGGTTAGCAGAGGGGAGTCAGCGAAGGTGGTGGGATTCAGATGTTGGTCACAGGGTACAAAATTTCCACTTGGTAGAAGAAATGCCTTAAGAGATCCGTGGCCCATGGTGGAGACTCAAACTGATGATAAGGTGCTGTGCACTTAAAAATGGCTAATAGGGCAGACAAGAGTCTTGCTCCCCAAAATAAAAAGATAAACATGTTAATTAGCTTGATGTGGCCAATCACATGGACACCATGTCAGACACAGTGTTCTACACCACAGATATATGCAGTGCTTCTCAATTGAAAAGTCAGATCGACTCCGATGACACAGATGTCAGTTGCTGAGCCAGAACCCGGGCGCCAGCCACCCGGTGACATCAGCAGCTTATCTGGAGCTCCAGCACGCAGGTCCTAGAGATAAAGGTCCCAGCACACACTCAGCTCTCGCCTTGAAACCTGCAGGTGAAGACAGAAAGCTCATCCCCGATTTCTGACGCCCGGACATACCCAGATGCCACACGGAGGTCAGACTCTTCCACGGTGGATGCTCTTTATGCACGGCAACAGCAGCTGGACTGAGCCCAAGTGCATGGAGTGTACTTTCTGCAGGGCTCATGCAGATAGAGTGGAAATGATTAACAGGGTGCTTATTGATCATGGATCAATATCAGCTGGCCAGCCTGAGCCCAGGACTCTGGGCCCTCCAGACAGGCTCTTTCCTGTCCTCTGGGGCTCAGGAGGCCTAGGAGCAGGCTACCACATGCCTCCGAGTTACTCACTCTGCTGGAATGAAGGCATCGTGTCCAGGCTAGACGAGCTCCCCTTCTCCTGGGGTGGGGCCGATGTTGTGGAGGGCCAGGCCCACAGCGCCATGCTGGAGATACCAGGCTGCCTGTCCCAGCACTTGCGAGCAGGCAGAGGGGGCCAGAGCAAGCTCTGCAGCTCAGGGCTCCCAGCAGTGTCCCCTGGGCAGCAGGTGGCTGCTGAGTCCCCAGGTCTGGGTTTGCTGAGCTCTTCCTGCACAGTTCCTCAGCCAGGAGGCTGGGCACGAGATCATCCTGAAGCACCTTCTTTTTTAAATTTGCATGATTTTGCCTCTCTCTAGGACATCCTGTTAGTGTGTTCTAGTTTATTACACGAGGGATTCCGAGGCTAGGCAGGGCCTCACAGGAAAGAGTCTGGGGTAATCGAGTTCAGGGGCTTTCAAACATCGGCGGCCTTATCGAGGCGTGGAGTGCATCCCACACCCGACGCATGCC